ACACTTTTAAAATCAAGATCTTTTGCGAAAGCAAAATAATTGCTTCAAAATTAACAAATAAATTCTAGAGAAATTGCGCCAACAATATCACGAGCCTCGTATCACAAGGGAAAAGATGACAAGGTTTGAATTCAAATTTCTCTATTTAACATTACTGAGCTTGTGTGTAATGCATTGTGGGTAAATACACACTAGAAAGTAAAATTCAAAAATGTTTACTAATATTAAGATTCATATCATATACCGTATTTGCTCTATTTAAAAGCATACCAAACCAAAAATCTTGTTTTTTTATTTAAATATTCCTCTTTTTGAAACTCAAATTTGGTATACATTTAGATTGTAATCTCAAATTTGTTTTTTCTCTTGTTTTGCTGCAGAAAATGTTGGGTAACACCTTGATTGTGCTGGAAGGTGATCAGTGTATTGATATTAATTGCACGTTACTGCTGTGTGAACAGGTAAGTACATGTTTATGGCAGGCAAATACTTCCGCTAGAAGCGTATGTTTGGCTGGGACTATAAGTACATCTAACTTACGATGAATTATTGAAGCTAACTAATTTTTTACATGAATGCCTCGCGCTTAAATAAGTTAAATACATAATGTACAAAATAAAGCAGCAGGGTATGTCGTTCTTTTAGACGGCTACTACTTTGCTCTAAAATTTAGGTAACATAATGAACCGGCTACAACCAAATATTGTTGGGGGTGTTCTTGTATATTTGAATTTGTTTTTTTTGGGGGGGGGTCTATTTTGTCAAGGTGGCTAATATGATTTTTTTATTTTCGTAATAAAAAAAAATTAAAGATTTTTGTTTTTGCATTGTCAAACGTAACCTACTTTTGTGTCACAGGGAGGGGATGTAGTATCTTACATGAAGTGCTTTAGATTTTGGTGAACTTTGTCAATTTGAGAGACACCCAAATGTTGGTTTAATTATGCCATGCTGTTTATTAGGATGCTTTCACCTCCATGCAGATATGCTACATTCACGATATTTTGCTTCCAAATGAAGCTTATATTAATCATTGTCACTAGCATACGAATCATTACTACCGTAAAACCTGTATTAGAAGCTGCATTCCTAATAGAAGTCACACCCATTCTTTTTGAATAATTGAGAATCAAAAATTCACCATTTCTCATGTGTAGATGCTCTAATAGAAGCCGCATCCCCTCTGTTGCATTGTACCATTTTAATAGAAGCCGCGGTTTCTAATACAGATTTTACAGTACACATCGATGGTGAATGCCCACATTCTACTGCACTTAGTGCACAAACAACTTGTAACATATTATCCTGCCCTTTCACTAACCTTCTTCCAGTCATCTATCTGTCCTCTGATATTGTATTTTTATTTTACTTCAGTTATTATTGGTGGGCGCGGAAGAAGGCTTATTTGCAATGGAGTTAAAGAAGCGGGAGACAATCTCAGTGATCGATGGTGTTAGTAGCGTATTTCAAATGCATATGATAGAGGAATTATCATTAATATTAATGATTGCCGGTATGTTATGTTACTCTCATTCAAGATCTTGACCTGAGTGTTGTAACACATTGACGCCCCACACACCTTGTCTCGTTGTTACAGACTATTATTATAATGATAGTGTTTGTTAATATTAGAAATCATATCAATCATTATACATCTAGAACTGAGTACATTAGAATATGCCGTTAAAAATACTAAATCTGCATTCATTCATTCAAAGTAAAATAAAAATTGACGTTATCAAGATCATTGACGTCTTATTTGAATACTTTTCATTGTTTACGTCGTACACAGAAACATTATAATAACACGTTATGAAAATAGAATCGCGTCTCTAAACTCGTATGTTCGTAAAAGGTTTTTTTGTTGCCATTTTGGGCTGTTTTCTTACATTAAAATTATTACTAGAGGTAGGAAATATCTGTATAATAATGAGCTTATCTTGAGAACATCATAAAATATGTGCTCAGGCAGTACAGGATTGCACGAACCTCTGACCTTGTGCATATTTTGCGATATTTTTGTGATATTCTCGTAGTATATACAACTCTTTCAGTCAGTGCTTTCACCATGGCAAGAAGCACCACCATGAATGAACCCATAATATTGAAAGTGCGGATAAAATAACATAAACTGTTCAATTGGAAGTGAACCTTTTTAAGATTACTCTTGGTGTTTCCTCCAAGGTAATGGCCGTGACTTGTGTACCATTGACTACAAGCATCTGAAGACCAAAGCTAATCAAGCCAGTCTTACACCATCTACTGTCAATGTCAAGTGTATTGAAGACGTCAAGTCGTGTCACTTGTTTGCTGTGGGTTCATGTGATGGTTGTGTGTTCATCTGTGCTGCTATGCCCGACAAGATCACTGTTCTAAAGTACAACAGTAGCATGGGAATGTTCTGTGTTAAAAAGGTAACCAGTTTGTGATCTGATTAAAGAAGCCAACAGAGTTTCACAATTGACTTGAAATGTATTACGCCATTTTGAGCTACAACAACCACACTACTTTTGACATCAATACAATCAGGTGACATGTATCCTGGTGCATTGAATAAAATAGTTCCAAAAACATGACAGTGTGACTGAAAAATTAATTGATCAGGAATTTTTATGGATCACCTTCTGTAATCAATAGAAACTATTTTTCAAGAATGCAGATTTTTTTCTCTTCTTTCTAATGTTTATTTTCCCCCTCAGGAGATGGAGACAGCAGAGCCTTGTAGTTGCATACATTTTGCTACTGCTAGTGTGTTGGTAGGCACCGATAAATTCTATGAAATTGACTTGAAGCAATACACAGTAGAAGGTGAGAACTGAATTGTATTTTTTTTTTAAATTCTGTTTACGAAGCATTTTATTATGGTTATGTATATCAAAACAATGTGAAACTTGCCTATTTTTTCAATTGTGAAACATTTGTGAAAAAGCGCTCATAGTGTAGTGATACTATGGGCAGTTTTAAGTGAAGTATTTGCTTTAGACAGGTTTCTTGTTAAAGGGGGGGCCGATACTATAAATAGGGGCAAGATGATCACCGCAATTAGTATGCTAATCTGAACCAAGCCGCTCACATTGTAGCGGGAGCTCCGGGAAATGTGCCATTTACGATGTTTAGAGATCAAGCTGTGATGAATATGTACGCTAGCGATTACACTCATTTAGTTGAGCTTTTGATGTATAATTATTGTTTTCGGTTGAAACGTGTCGCGACAAGTAAAAATCCTGAGTTTAAAATGGCGGCTAATGTATGCAAAATGCCTGTCAATCACAGTTTGAGTTAGCGAGCATAATAAGCATTCATTTACTTAGTGGACAGAGGCGGAGTTAATTACCCATGAGCATGTGGTGCAATCCATAGGATTGAGCGGTTCCCCTTTAAGTGTTTGCTTTAGACAGGTTTCCAGTGTAGTGTTCACTTTAGACAGGTCAAAACATCAGAACGTAATTTCTTTGTAACCCATCTTTATTGATTGCATTT